CAAGCACAGCACCGCTCGTCCGGACCACCGGAACAGTGGGGACCCTGTCCAGGTCAGCCAACCCCAGCTCGCCGAGCTTCGTCCGGCCGAGCTGGACCGAGAAAGCTGCTCGCATCTACGGATGTTTCAAAGAAGACCCGCCTGTCAATCAATGCGCTGGAGCTCCCTCAGGCCCGCCTTCAGAGCTCCAACCCCCGCTTGCTTAGCCGGACCATCTTGGCACCTGGCGACACGTCCCTGAGCGACGCGACCCTCGAAAGACACCATCATGATTGGCCAATTGAGTGCTATCCTGGGCCTCCCTTCGAGTTGCCTGGGCTCAGCACCCAGTCGCCAGCTGCCCGCCGACAGCACCAATACGTCACAGGTCTTTGGAAGTGGGCTGATGGCGCCCTGAGCAACACCACAATATAAAGCTTGCTTCGTTCCCACTTGGCGGCTGCCCCGGAGCGACTCTTCGTTCCTTTCTCGCTCAACTCTGCCGAATAGCTCGTCTGCTGCCTGTCGGATTGCCTGTTGGAAGCTGCTGCTGGTCGACCTTCGCGGACAGCTTGCTCCGACGGACAACCCCCCTCTCCCCTCCACCACTGAACAACTGGGAAGCCAGTCGCGAAGCGTCAATGGCCTCACCAATCGCTTCGGCGGCCCTCAAGGCCCGTGTGCGCCGCCCTTCCATGCTCAAGAAGCTAACCCAACCCGATAAGCTCCTTCAGCACTTCCCCAATGGCGCGTACATCGGCTGGTCTGGCTTTACCGGTGTCGGCTACCCCAAGAAGATGCCCACCTACCTCGCCGATCACGTCGAGCAGAACAACCTCCAGGGAAAGTTAAAGTACTCACTATTCGTGGGCGCCTCATCCGGTGCTGAGACGGAAGACCGTTGGGCTGGTCTTGACATGATTGACCGTCGAAGCCCCCACCAGGTCGGCAAGTCCATCGCCAAGGGCATCAACGAGGGTCGCATTTCATTCTTCGACAAGCACCTGTCCATGTTTCCCGTCGATCTCATGTACGGCTTCTACACCAAGGACAGGCCAAACGACAAACTCGACGTTGTCGTCGTCGAAGCGACCGACATTATGGAAGACGGCAGCATCGTCCCAGGTGCCTCCGTCGGTGCCACGCCCGAGCTCATCCAGATGGCCAACAAGATCATCATCGAGGTCAACACATCGCTGCCCAGCTTTGAGGGCCTGCACGACATCACCATGACAGAACTTCCCCCCAAGCGCAAGCCTTACCTTATCATGGGTGTCGAGGACCGAATCGGCTCCACATCCATTCCTATTGACCCGGAAAAGGTCGTGGGCATCATCGAGTCCGATTACCAGGACCAGACGTCCCCCAACACACCCGCCGATGCCGGCAGCAAAGCTATCGCCGACAACTTGATTGAGTTCTTCGAGCACGAGGTTTCGCGCGGCCGACTGCCCGCGTCCCTGCTGCCTCTACAGTCCGGTATTGGCAACATTGCCAACGCCGTTATTGGAGGTCTCTCCGAATCCAACTTCAAGAACCTCAAGGTCTGGACCGAGGTCATCCAGGACACCTTCCTCGACCTCTTCGATTCTGGTCGCCTTGACTTTGCCACCGCTACGTCGATCCGTTTCTCTCCCGATGGTTTCCGCCGCTTCTACGACAACTGGGAGGACTACCACGGCAAACTCCTTCTCCGCAGTCAACAAGTGTCCAACTCGCCTGAAATTATCCGCCGCCTTGGTGTCATTGGCATGAACACCCCTGTCGAGGTCGACATGTATGCGCACGCCAACTCGACCTGCGTCATGGGCAGCCGCATGCTCAACGGTCTCGGAGGCAGCGCCGATTTCCTCCGCAGTTCCAAGTACTCCATCATGCACACCCCCAGCACAAGGCCCTCCAAGACCGACCCTCACGGTGTCAGCTGCATCGTGCCCATGTGCACGCACGTCGATCAGACGGAACACGACCTCGACGTCATCGTCACGGAGAACGGTCTCGCCGACGTGCGTGGTCTCAGCCCCCGCGAGAGGGCGAGAGTCATCATCAAGAAGTGCGCCCACCCCGTATACCAGCCCATCCTGGAGCGCTACCTCGACAAGGCCGAGTTTGAGTGCCTCAAGAAGGGCTGGGGCCACGAGCCACACCTGCTGTTCAACAGCTTCGACATGCACAAGGCGCTTCTAGAGGAGGGCAGCATGCAGAAGGTCAAGAGCTTCTAAATAAGACGTGACGAGAGAGGTAGGGAGGTGCGAGGCAGTCAGTGACCAGTTTTCGTTGTAGAAATGGTTCACAAAGTTTTCGTAGAGCTCTACGGAGCTGACGGACCGCTTAGGATCACAGACTTGATCTAAGCCGTCATTGTCACAGACATTTCTCGAATTTACTTGTTCAAACCATGACTCGATATGTCTGATTGTCTATACGTGTTTTATATCAGTCTACCTTTGGTGTCGAGGGCTCTGCCGGAAATAACAGCCTCCTCTGCTGACACGCCCTCCTTCCACACGTAAGACGCCGCGACATGCTCATCCAGAGCTGCTTTTGGCCCTCACGTCGGTAGAAGTCTCGCGGTATGTGCCCGCCGTACGGCGTAGTCGTCCAGAAGAGGCCGGCGCTGCGCAGTCGGGCAGCAGCAGCTCAATGATGTCCTCAAAGGACTGGGGAAAAGAGAACATAGGCCTGGCAAGGTCAGTGACCGCATTCATTCAAGCATCCACTCTGGAAACTCACAAAGTTGAAGCCATCAACATCCGCCTCCCGCACCCAAGTCTCCAGACCATCAGCCACCTGTTCCGCCGTACCGACAAGCACAGGCCCATTGCCGCCGATGCTCACATGCTCAGCAATCGTGTGCTTGGTCCACTTGGCCGTGCCGGGCGAGAATCGGGCATACCCTTCCACCGTCGACCGTACGGCGTTGCTCTCGACCTGGCGCAGCTCCTGCTCGTCGCCGTACTGGCCAAGATCGATGCCCGTCCACCCGCCAAACAGCGCCAGCGCGCCCTCGAGCGACGCGTACTGCCTGTAGTCGGCGAGCTTGGCCTGCGCCTCCTCCTCCGTGCGCCCGAGGATGGGCGTCACGAGCGCGAGCACCTTGATGTCCTTGCCGTTGCGCCCGTAGCCGGAATCGGCGAGGGCGCGAATCTCGGCCACGTTCTTGGCGCACACGGCGGGCGCGTGGGCCGACACGAAGACGGCTTCGGCGTGCTGCGCAGCGAACTGCTTGCCGGCACGAGAGGCG